TGTGCTGCAGATGTGTATGGGCTCGCTCCTCTGGCTCGGCCCGCCGGTGTTCACGGCTCTGATGTGGATGATGAAGCTCCGCCGCGGCTGCAGCTGCACCACACACTCACAGCACGGGATCGCCACGATACATCTGCAGCACACACACACACACACACACACACACACACACACACTACAGCTGTGCTCACATACACATGCGTCTGTGTGTGTGTGTGTGTGTCACTGACTCTGTCGCGCCGCCGTCTCCGTCTGCGCAGTCCTCCGTCAGCTCGAGTGTGTATGACTCCACAGGGTTTGTGTTTCCAGAGTCCCAACGGATCAGCGCCGCGTCCAGACTGCTCACACACTCCCGAGGCCGGATCACAGGCGGAGAGGGGACTGCACAAACACACACACACACACAGATGGAGTGTTACCTGTGTGTGTGTGTGTGTGTGTGTGTGTGTGTGTGTGTGTGTGTGCAGACTCACCGGTCATGTAGACGGCTCTCTCGCTGGCCGGGCTGATGCCGCTGGTGTTGGTCGCCGTCACCCACAGCTCATACTGCGCATTCGGCAGCAGATCACACACTCGACAGTGCGTCTCCTTCACCTTCATCTCACACACTGACACACACACACACACACACACAGATTTAACCAAAACACAGCTGTGTATTCCTGAAAGCTGTGTCATTGGTGAGGTGTGTGTAATCGTGTGTGTTTGTGTTATTATGTGTGAATGTATATGTGTGTGTGTTATATAAAAACTTTATTAGGTACACTGTCCAACTGCTGGTTAACACAAATGTCTAATCAGCCAATCACAGGGCAGCAGCTCACTGCATTTAGGCATGTAGACATGATCAAGAGGATCTGCTGCAGGTCAGAGCGAGCATCAGAATGGGGAAGAAAGGGGATTTAAGAGACTTTGATCGTGGCATGGTTGTTGCTGCCAGACGGGCTGCTCTGAGTATTTCAGAAACTGCTGATCTACTGGGATTTTCACGCACAACCATCTCTAGGCTTTAAAGAGAATGCTCCGACAAAGAGGAAATATCCAGTGAGCGGCAGTTCTGTGGGCGCAAATGCCTTGTGGATGAGGCCAGAGGTCAGAGGAGAATGGCCAGACTGGTTCCAGCTGATAGAAAGGCAACAGTAACTCAAATAAGCACTCGTTACAACCGAGCTCTGCAGAAGAGCATCTCTGAACACACAACACGGCCAACCTTGAG